GGGAAGCTGGCATTGGTACATAATGTATCTTAATTCTTTTTAAACCTTTCTTTATGTTGTATCGAGTCTTAAAGAAGAAAGGAAGCAGAGAAGACATGGTGGCACGTGTTGGCTTCCAGGTGGCTGAGGCAGGAGGATTACATGTTTGAGCACAACCTAAGCAACTTAGCGAGACTGTCTCAAAATGAAGCACAGGGTTGGGGAGTGACTCGGCAGAAGGTTGCACTGGGTTCAGTTCTCAGTGCAAGAGGAAAGCGAAGTGGAAGAAGAAGAAGCAAAAGGGGGCAGGGATAAATGAAGGATCAAATAAGCTGTTGTCCCCTCTGGGCACACCAGCCCGCCTCCCCTACCCCACATCCAGAAGCAGCCCTGGTTATTGTTTGTTATCTATTAATTTTGTCCCTTGAAAAAAGACACATCCGTACCCACATAACCAAGACTGATGGTGACTCGGTGCCATGTCTCTTTCAAGTGCACATGCGTGTGTGGTTTCTTCTGTGGCTTGCTTCTTGCACTCAGCACTGTGGCTCTGGGGCTTGTCAGAGCTGGTGGGTATTTTTCTGATCTCTACCTCTGATCTGCTGCTGTATGGAAATTTGTCTTAGGGATCCACCCTGTCTTCTCGTCAAGCTTCCAGTGACAAGCACACCAGTTGTTTGCAATGTGTGGCTCTTGGGAGGGTGGCTCAGTTGGCACCAGCCTCCTTGAGAGCCAGTGGGTACCTGGCAAGGTGGGGCTGGGTCTCAGATGTTCCGGGTCCCCAAGTCCTGCCCATGGCTCTCCAGAGCACCTGGACTGTCTTGTTCCCCAGCTGCCGTGGTTTGCCCTGTCTCATCCCGTTCTCCAGGTTTCCTGTCCTTTCCCCTTGAGGGCTGGGCATGGTGTCTTGGGGAGGCTGGGGCTGCCTGGTTCTTTGCCCCTTCCCTGTGCCTTGGCAGGCTTGAGATTACCTTGCAGCTCACTGTATCTCCTCTTATCTGCTCAGGAAGGCAGCCTGCAACTGGGCCATTCACACTTGCAACCTTGTTGTCAGGCTCCACTGCCTGTGGCACCTTCACAAGGCATCAGGACCATATGGCTAAACTGCATGTGCAGCAGGGACTGTGACCCTCACTGTCTTCCCAGCATGCCCAGCCACAGGGACCCAGGCTCAGCTTGGTAGGACTGCATCCTTTCCCAGAGCTCCTGGGAGAGGAGGTAGAACTTCTACAAGCTTGAAAATACAGTGGCCCTCCATAACTGTGGATGGCTCAGCTAGACTTAAGTGATATTCAGAAAAAAATAATGGCTTCTGTGCTGAACACCTACAGGCACTTTTTCTTGTCATTATCCCCTAAATAATATAGTGTGGCAGCTATTTACACAGCATTCACATTGGTATCATGCATAATCGAGAGATGACTTCGAGTGTACAGGAGAATATGCAAAGGCTATGTGCAAATATTGCACCATTTTACACCCGGGATTTGAGCATTTGCAGAGTAGAGTATCTTTGGGGGCTCCTAGAACCATTCCCATGGATATTAGAGACAACTGGACTTGTGTTTAGCAAAATGGACCCCCTGGAGGTGAAGGATGGGGGAGCCCTTAGATTGGAGAGAGTCTGGTGGACTTCTGAACTTGGGGACAAGCCCTGTGCCCCAGGTGGGAAAAGATGCTACAGAGGAGAGGTTGGAGCGGAAGTCTCCAAGAGCTCACGGGAGGAAACAGAGGCTCAGGGAAGCAATGTGAAGAGCGGACTCTGGCCCAGCCTGTCCTCCTAGGTCCTGTGCACCAATAAGAGAAAGGGCCCTACTGGCCTTGTCCTCTCCGCTCAGTCTCCAGGGTGTCCCTAAGCCCCTTAGGGATTTTAGGGGCTGTCTGACCCACCCCTCACTCTAAGCCAGACCAGCCCTGGGGTGGCCCCAATGGACTGACGCTCTGTCAGCAGCAGGCTCTGTGCTTGGGAAGATCTCAGATGCTCTTGTCCCACCTCTGGCTATTTGCTCAGCAGGCCCCTGCCCAGGCTCTGTCACCCCACCGCCTAATGTTTCCTGCCCTACGGGGGCCATGCAAGAACTCAAGAAGTATTGAAAGGAAGGGAGGCAGCTGTTGGAGCTCACGTGACAGAGAGGGAAACTGAGTCGCGGACTGGCTAAGGCTAAGAAGACTGAGAACAGTGTGGCCATGTGAGTTGAGCTCTCAAGCCAGAAGTCCTAGGCTTGGGTTCATGCTGTGCCCCTGGGCAAGCTGTGTGCTCTAGGGGAGGCTCCTCTAGTTCTCCGTGCCTCAGTTTCCCTGAGGATCACCTTAAAAGTTAATGGACCATACTGCAGAGAAAGCTCCTATGTTTCCCTGAGGCTCTGCCTCAGCTCCCTGTTCCTGTCCTTGTTCTTTCCCGCTGAGACGGCAGCTGTGCGGCACTGACACCCCATGTGTGCATGGGCTTGGCCCAAGGAAGACTGGAGAGTGGCAACCTAGTTTATTAGGTCAATAAAATCTCAAGTGCATGAACTCCAGAGATGCCTGAGGTCATTTTATGTGCATGAGGGAGCCTGAGAGTTTCCTGGACCTGTGTCTTTTGTGTTCATAAAACCGATGGATGAATGGTAGTCTGCCCTTTACCTATGTCCCTATCCCAGGAAGGCGTCTGTCACCAGAGAGCCAGCCTTGCTGTCTATGGAAGCCCCACCTCAGAACCCTGGGCTGTCCAGCCTAGCACCTTCCCTCAGATGGATACGACTCATGTCCCAGCCCTGGACCGCAAAACCCTGGTCTGGCTGGGTGGGCAGCCCTGTCCTCTAAGCCTGTCTTTATCCAAGATGCTCAGGCTCCTGTCTCTCTGCACTCATGCAAGCCAGGCTGGTGTTCCTCTTCTCAGTCTCTGTAGGATGGAGAATCACTTTGGGTCCTCTTAAAAAACCAAAAAAAAAACAAAACTTGCTCCTTCCTTGTCCCTCCGCCCCACCCCAACACTCTCCTTTGTCCCTTGGCACTTCCCTGGTGTGCCTAATTCCCGGAGGCTGCAGCAGCTGCACAGACGTGGCCCCATCTCGCTGCACACACACAACCCTGAGAATTGATTCAGAAAACGATTAGTTACAGTACAGCGGCGCTGCTAACTGTGGCATTTTGCTTTGCAGTTATTGATACATCATCAGAATTGAGAAGCGATAGCCAGAAAGGGGAGGAGGGGCCAGCAGGGGCAGAGAAGGGGGCTGGACATCACTGTCCTGCAGGCTCAGGTAGCCCTGCCCTGATGGGGAAGGATTTCTAGCAGAAGTTGGAGCTGGGGTAGCCTCAGCACAGCCCACCTAATTACACATAGACCTAGGACAGCCAGCAGATTCCAAGCTTGTGCCTATGCAGTCCTTGTCCCCAGGTAGACCCATAACCCCTTGCTGTCTCCTTCCTCCTCCTACTTTGCTGCTACTGCTGAGGCACGGTTCCCCTTCCCAGCAAGAATGGGGTGCAGGGCTGAATGTACAGGGGGGCTTGAGACCCAAGACTCAGTAGGCACAGTAAATAAGAACTGATAGAAAAAGCCAGATGGATGGATGGATGGATGGATGGATGGATGGATGGATGGATGGATGGAGAAATAGGTAGACGGATGGACAGATAGACTTGATTTTATGGCCTGGATCACACAATTGTGGGGGCTACCAAGCCTGACATCTGTGAGGCAGACACAGGCTATAACCTCAGGTAGGGGTTAGGACTGCAATCTCCAGGGTAGAGCTCAATGATACTAAAGTGAACCAACTCTAAATATTAAACCCAATTACTAAATATTGTCAAGGCAAAACCTAGATTCCTGTCTGGCCTCTAAGGACCATGGCCTTGCCAATTGGACACCAAAAAAAAAAAAAAAAAAGGAGATCGCAATGCCCCAAGATGCCAAGATCTCAACAGATGGACCCAGGTGGCAGTGAACTCCTGAAAATGGGGCACCATGGTGTAGCACTTCTCACTAAAGACAGGCCCCATTGGTCTTTGATGGCCTGGGGCTGAGAGTTGATGTAGCGTTGGTGCGGACTTCTTGTTGTCACAATAGAACAACAGAGCTGACTTCTCCAGTGGATAGCTCCAGCTGGGACAGCAGCCACCCTTGGGGGGGGGGACAGGCAGCTGTTGGGGGCCTTCCTCATGGGAAGGAAAGGTGGAAGGGACATGGGGTGACACAGACACTGTGCATGGATAACTTGAGTAACTGGTATTTACTTCTCAGAGTGCTGGAGACGAGTAAGTCCACAGTCAAGGTGCCAGCAGATCTGATGTCTTCTCACATGGGTGTGTGGGGAGACTTTTAGCACCCTTGCATGAGAGCACCATCCCTAGAGTCAGTCATGTTCTGGGGGCCTCCTGCAGACTCTGTTCCAGTGAGGTTTATAGGGGCAGGGGCCAGTCTTGCCCTGAGCTTGCCTGAAAGTCAGCGAACAGAGGCACCCACCAGAGGCTCAGGGTAAAGGAGGAGGCTGTGTGGATGCTGGTGGGTTTGGGGGTGGGCAGTCTGATAAACTGCACCTGAGGGCCTACTAACCCCACAGACCTGACATTTCCTTGGAATGGAGGCCTATGACAGGAGCCAGAAGTGACATCAGGGTGGTACTAGAATTTCTGTCCCAGGAGGGCTCTATGCGTGCGAGAGGGGAGTTGACTGGCTTGGGGACTGGAACATGGGCCATCCCACCTGTGGTCCACCCTGACCAGCTGACCCTCTTGCCCATCAGCGCCCCACCCCTCTGGTCCAGCACCACATCTGACACCTCAGATGTCACCTACAGTACCCAGAGCCGCAGCTCAGCGCATCCTTTACATGCTTAGTGGTAGACAGCCACCTTGTTAAGATTCCCCGCCTAACATTCTCTCGTTTGCAGCGTTCAAAAGACACGGTTCCCATGACACTGAGTCCTGTGATATTTTTAATCAAGAGCAAGGGACGGCGTGTGTCTGATGCATTCCAGATATTCAGAGATTGAAAATGATTTTGTTCTCTTGTTTTCTTCTTTAAAATGCAGCGTGAAGTCAGAACCGCCAGAGGAAATCCTGCCGGCCTTCCCCGGAGCTGGTCTGCAGGCCCCTCTGCGGGATCCAGGAGCACCCCTCCTGCACAGAGGTATGTACCCCTCTGCGTGGTGCTTTCTGCGTGGCCCCAGTGCGTGGCATGGGGAGTGAAGTGTGGACAGGTGTCAGCAAGGGGTCCACACAGGCCCCCAGCACACGGTTCCCCAATCCCTATGTGTTTTTCACCTGCCTTTCCCCAATCCCCTTCCTAAAATGCAAATCAGTGGGTGTATAATAGATAATTAATAGACTGATCAGCCAGCAAGGGAGGTAAGTAGATAAATAATTTTAATTATCCTTGGGTTGCCCATAAATTCCCTCACTGCCTTTTTATTAAACTCTCTGTTTACAGGAGTCATTTATATTCCGTGTCATTGTGCCAATCCCTCCCCCGCCTCCTCCTCAGCGGCTCCCATCAGGTCTGACCTAGGGCGGAATCGCTCCACGTGACCGCGAGCTCTGCTCCCAGCTGGGGCCCAGGTGGCCAGGTTGGGCAGCGAGAGGGAAGCCAGCCCTGGGCTCAGCCGCGGTGGCCCCTGCGCTCACCGAGGTGGCTGCAGCCTGGTCCAGCACAGCCAGGAGCCTTCATTGCACTTGGCACCTGCGCTGGAGGCATGAGCTCATTCTGCTCCCCAGGGACTGCCTTCGCCTATTCATAGCTCTGGCTGAGGTTTCCTCCTTGCTCTGAATGCCAAGAGGGAAAGTGGGTTAATAAATATAAAAGAAAACTCTGTCAGAGGGCCTGGGGCCAGACTCTACTAGGCTCTGCAAGAGTCCTGGCTGATTGGGCCCCAGCTAGGTGAGGGCTCCCACACCTAGCCTTTCATCCTGCTCCTGATGGGGGCCAGAGCCTGAGCCACAAACTTGCTCCAGGTTTCCATGGAGCTGGTCTGCAGGAAGAGGAGCCTCCCGGGTGGGGTTGGGTAGAGACTCTGTGCAGCTGGCACCTGCGTGCCAGGGGGCTTCCTCTGCGGTCTTATGTTTCCTGCACCCCTTCTCCATTTACCTTGTTCATGGCCTTTCTTCAGAAGGCAGTGTAGAAGGTGGCCCTGGGTTAGCCCTAAGCAAGAAACCTCTCTGGTCCCTGGCCTGCTCCTGGTCTGTGGCAGGGACAGTTTGGTCTTAGTTGCTGAGTTAAACACTAATGGGAGGAGAACAGAGCTCCAGGAACAGAGCTGGGGATAGAGAAGCTCTCCGAGACAGGTGTCTCCATGTCTGTCCCACTTGTACCAGTTCATATGGTCAGCTGAACATCAAGAGCATCCAGTGCAGGGGACCTAGGACATGAAGCACAGGCATGTGGGCTCCTTGGACTGGTGCGGTTTCTCTAGTGACTGTCCCTGTGTCACTGCCTCTCTGAGGGTTCATGTGTGGATACTCCTAGTGACTCAGGCAGGGCATAGCCACTCAGCCCCTGACTGGCAGAGCCCAGACTCGTATCTGGGTTACCTGGTCATGGCAACCCACTGCCCACAAGTCCTGTGTCAGAGAGTTCTCCTGGAGGGAGAGGAAGTGGGACTCTCTGTCCACATATCTCTGGGCTGCCCCTGCTTCTGTTGGAAATGAAGGGAGACTGTGGATGTTGTGTTTTAGGAAAGGGGACTTAGCTGTGCTCTAGCCGGGAGGCAAGTGATAAAAGAATACCGCCGCTACCCCAGGCTGGATCCTGGATGCTACCAGAGATCAGGCCTTGATGCTCACTGCTGGCTGTCTTGTCTCCTTGGAGGGACACTGTTTGCCCAGGGAAGAGGGTATTTGAGCTGAGCAAATGGAAAGGCCGTGTAAGTTTTCCTCCCTTAGGCAGCCAGTGGAGGCTTCCTGCCCTTTCAGGAGTTTGTTTAGCTCGGAGCTGGGCCGTTGCCCCTGACTCTCTGTAGCCCACATAGGCTGGTGGGAGGGGGGGCCAGGAGTGAGAAAAGATGCTGGGTGGCTTCTCCGAAGGTTTCTCCACTATGCTCAGTTCAGGGTACACTGCAGGGGAGCCACCAAGGCCATCTCCATGACACCCTGTCCAGAACAGCCATCAGGAACAAGGCCTGAGCTTTTCAGGCAGCAGGGGCAGGGATTCATCTGTCGAAACCAACAGCCAGGCCCACAGCATGGCTCCATGATGCTTTGGATTTTCTAGTGGTTTTGTGCAAGGACTTAGGGCTTCTTTTTTTTTTTTTTTTTTTTTGGTCCGAATGCCTTCAGGGCAGGTTTGGCTGGCTGGAGTGTTGTGGGGATCGAACTGCAGCAATCTGAGGCTGACAGCTTTGTGGAAGCAGCCACTTAAAGAACTGAGCTAGGGCCAGGCCCCCTTAGGGTTTCTAATCTGTTTCCATTTTGTGCAATTGGGTGAGATGGGAAGGAAAAAAAATGATTCAAAGATGGACCAAACTGTTCACCCCTGGTGCTTCACCATAACAGCTGTGACAGCCAGGCCACCCCACCTGTACCTGCCAGCCTTTCTGTCCAGGGACAAAGTACCCAACTCCCACAACCTCAAGGAGGAGAGGTCTATGTGGCTCAGGTTTCAGAAGTTTCGGGCAGACTCCACAGCAGGAGCAGCCTGGAGCAGGGGCTGCAGAGGAAGGATGCTCCATTCATGGTGGCCGGGAGCAGAGCAGTGAGACAGTGCCAGAGAGAAGGTGACAGGGGACCGGATATGGTCCCCACAGCCATGCTTCCATGACCCACCAGGCACAGGCAGCAGTTTGCTCCCAAAGTCAGTCAAGTTGGCTCTTAACTTAATGAACTGTTGCAGGCCACGCCCCTCACCCACAACGGCTCCACCCCTTCACCAGCACTTGCTTTGTCCATCTGAGCCACCAGGGGCCACCATCAGGCGGGAACAGGCGATCAGTGACAACAGCTGGAGCAATGCTTTGGGTCCTGGCTGGGTTACGGGGACCCTCCCACCTTCCCACTCAGCATCATCAGCAAGCAGCACTGGGGGACTTCCCTTGTCCCCTACACATGTATGGCAAGGTGTCTGTGTGACCCATCAGAAGAAATGGTGAGGGAGGGCCAGAGCAAGGAAGGAATTTGCTTTGGTTCTTCCACAGGCAGGGCCAGGACATGTGTGAAGCAGACCCTCCTTACTGTCACCCAAGTGCCACCAGCACCTGCTGGGAGCCTGGGAGTCAGGACCAAGAACAGCAGGCCCTTTGGCTTGTCTTCCTCTTTCATTCCCTGATGACCCTGTAGTCATCCTTTCCCTGGCATTAGGGGGTTCTGCAGACCCTCAGTAAGATGGGTGCTTTTCTTTTCAAGTTAAAATTCACTCTTTGTACTGTTTTGTTATTACACAAGTTACAGGTATTCCTTTCAGAAAAATATAGACAGGAGAGCTGGAGATAGCGCACATGCCTGGGATCTCAGTACTCTGGGAGGCTGAGGCAGGAGCTGTCAAGTTTGAGCTCAGCTTGGTTAGGGAGACCCTGACTCAAAATAAAAAAATAAAAATAATAAAGGACCTGGGGCTGTGGCCCAGTGCAAAGGCCCCGGGGTCAATTCTCAGTACTGCAAAAAGAAAAGAGCAAATATAGCCAAGAAGAAGGAAGGGACCAAACATGCCCACAGCTCCACTGTCAGAAACCAGCAGAGTTTACACCTGGCGTGTGCAGCCTCCCAGGTGTCTTCTACATAGAAGGGTTTGCAGAATTCATTGTTCAAAACTGGACCATGCTCTGAATATCATTGTGTAGCCTGTTTTTGTTGCCACTGCTGCTTAATCATATTCTCAGGAATATCTAGGTTGATGCTCACTTCTGTTTCCATAAGAATATTATTTCACTGACATACCACGATGGTGTGTTTTCAAGGCCTAATTTCAAGTGCTAGGCCAGACATTCGCCACTGACCTGTTTCCAAAACTCTGTGTCACACTTTGAGATGCCAGAAGATTAATTTTCCAAATGGGAATTAGGAAATGATTTTTCACATTATAAAGCAGTCTGCAAACATATTCCAAAGACCATCTTTGAAAAATGCCCCCCTCCCCAGGGCATTAAAGTTCCTACAGCATATGCAACCCTACTTCACATCCATTGTGTAGAGGATGACACATCTGTCTTATTCTGTAGGGGTCTTTCCCAGGTTCACAAAATGCATGGGGGTGGAGTGCGTGCATCCATGCACGCACATACACACATGCATGTGTGTATATGTGTACATACACAGGCAGGCCCATGTGTTTGTCACCTTGAGCATACAAGCACAGAATCACATACACATAACCATGCATGATTATATGCACGTACGTACGGACACACACAGGCACCAGTACACAAACACCTAATGCTTGGATGCGCGTCCCTATTGTCAGTTGAAGGGTAGCATTAATTTAATTCCTTATTAATCACATCTATTTATCAGCTGATCTCCCAGTAACAATTCCCAGAGAATAAACTATGATTTCTTTCTTTTTTTTT